TGACTGCATCCACAAAGCAGCTTTCGCACTTATCTACTCACCCACCAGCAATTGCTACTTGCCCCCAGATTATGGTTACAGTGGTACCCCGCAAGACGAACGCCTCGCAAGACGGAAAACCCGCTAGACGAAAGGGTTTTCCGTTTTGGAGGCGCTTCGCAAAACGAATTTCCCTATGGGCTTGTTTCGCAAGACGAAAGCCCATAGGGAAATCTCCGGGACAGCGGGGAAGCGCAGAGCGTCTTCCCCACTGTCCTCGGACCTCCTCCGAAGCCTGGCGGCGGGGCGGAGAGACCTCTTCCTGCCGCCAGGCTTCGGAAGGATGCTCCGAAGCTAAAGAAGCTAAAGCAGCCTGCCGCGACCCTCTCCCGGCTGGAGAAGTGACGCGCGCCTATGGCAGGAGCCTCCATAGCCGAGCGTCACCTCTCCAGCCGGGACAGCGCGCGCGGGGCTAAAGCAGCCCCCCGCGACCCTCTCCCAGGTGACGCGCGCCTATGTCAGGAGCCTCCATAGCCGAGCGTCACCTCTCCAACCGGGAGAGCGCGCGCGGGGCTAAAGAAGCCATAGCCCCGCGACCCTCTCCCAGGTGACGCGCGCCTATGGCAGGAGCCTCCATAGCCGAGCGTCACCTCTCCAGCTGGGAGAGCGCGCGCGTGGGGCTAAAGCAGCCCCCCCGCGACCCTCTCCCGGGTGACGCGCGCCTATGGCAGGAGCCTCCATAGGTGCGCGTCACCTCTCCAACCGGGAGAGCGCGCGCGGGGCTAAAGAAACGCCCCGCGACCCTCTCCCGGCTGGAGATGTGACGCGCGCCTATGGCAGGAACCTCCATAGGTGCCCGTCACCTCTCCAGCCGGGAGAGCGCGCGCGGGGCTAAAGAAACCCCCCGCGACCCTCTCCCGGCTGGAGAAGTGACGCGCGCCCATGGCAGGAACCTCCATAGGCGCCCGTCACCTCTCCAGCCGGGAGAGCGCGCGCGGGGCTAAAGAAGCCCCCCGCGACCCTCTCCCGGCTGGAGAAGTGACCCGCGCCTATGGCAGGAGCCTCCATAGGCGCCCGTCACCTCTCCAGCCGGGAGAGCGCGCGCGGGGCTAAAGAAGCCATAGCCCCGCGACCCTCTCCCAGCTGGAGAAGTGACGCGTGACTATGCCAGCAGCCTCTGAAGGATGCACCGAAGCCTGGCGTGGGGGGGGGGCGGAGAGACCTTCTCCCCGCGCCAGCCTTCGGATGGCTGTCCTGAAGACTTGGGGTGGGAGAAGGGTTTTCCTTCCCACCGCCAACATTCAGAATGCTGTTCTGAATGTTGGCGGTGGGGAGGAAAAACCCTCCTCCCACGCAAGCCCCGGGAACAGAGGGAAAGCGCTGCGCGCCTTCCCCTCTGTTCCCGTACCTGTGCTGAAGGCTTGCGGTGGGGAGAAAAGCCCTTCTCCGCACCGCCAGCCTGGCAAGCGGTTTCCCTAGGAACGCATTAATTGATTTTCAATGCATTCCTATGGGAAACCGTGCTTCGCAAGACGAAAAACTCGCAAGAAGAAAAAACTTGCGGAACGAATTAATTTCGTCTTGCGAGGCACCACTGTACTTGAACTATAATCTGTAAGCGAAGTCTAAGATGCAAATTATTTAAGAGCTGCTCAAGGAAAACAAAACTGAGCAGCTATTACACCAGTAACACAGGACTTTAGATATAAAGAACATTCTTAATTAAGAACACATTATTTCAGGAACAAAGACAAACACTTTTTTGGGGAGGGGAGTGTGGTTTCTGTTAAGAGTGGCAATGAAAATGACCCCTTCAGTCAAGTGTTTGTAGCAACCTGAAGTATTTTTTCCCAGGTTGAGTCCAATAATCTCTTGGTGAATATATCAACAAAATCTCAATGGCTTTGTCTGACTGTAATCTATGCAGGGCCTGCCAGATGTTGTTGGAGTTCAACACCCATCAGCCTCAGCCAGCAAAGCCAATAATGGGAGTCAGAGCCTAGCAACATGTGGGGGACATCACAGTGGCAACCCCTGTTTCAGATAGATAGATAGATAGATAGATAGATAGATAGATAGATAGAGATACTATCTATCTCTCTGGCATTCTTCCACAAACATAGAACTCAGATTCAAGGTTGCCATGTTGTCTCAAAACCAGCCAACAACTAGACCCAGAACTGCTTAGCTTTTCACACAGTTGCTGCCTCATGTGCCTTCAGAATGTTCCCTGGGACTGTGACCTATTTTCAAGGTTAACCCACTACATAAAGGCAGGCTCCAAGGCACTTCCTGCAAATCTTAACCTAGTAGAGGCTTCAAAGCATACATGTTCAACGGATGCACATTAACAGCTGTCTTGTGGAGTCGATCAAATATAAGGAAGCAATATCCATTAAAGTTTTGACAGATGCTGCTGCCTGAGGTGCTGATGCTACAGAACTAAATTCTTTTCACAATTCTTGATGTGACTATTATCTATGAGAAAGAGTGTTAGCCATGCAGATTCAGTGTTTGACAGCTGAAGGAGTTAAGATGCAGTTCAAAGTCCTTGCTTGCTCAGCTGCCCACTTCCTTTCTCCCTCAAATTTCCTTTGAAGCTAAATGTGAGCATGTCCCCTTCCTTTTCCATTATCTAATTGCAGAGACCCTCTGCATCTATGCCTAAGCTTCTGGTGTGACCACATGATTTCTAAAAATGGCGCCACTCTAATTAACCCAGGTATGAGAGACCATTTGCACTGTCTTTGACTCAAAGGGACATCACCTAGGTTAAAATAGTGGAATGTCACTTGAACCTAATAAAGGATATGTGCATTTGTTTTTCCAGTGAGGTACATTATATCTTACTGTGTAGTTCTTTGGCTTCTCAAGAGCACCTTAGCCTGAAGCAGCTGAAGGCTATGGGAAATTTTAAGATTCAATCTTGCCCACGCAACCCTTCTTAAATATGTTGTAATTCATGCACAGTGTTTAACTTGTGTAAATAAAAGGCTGAAGCAGGCAGTCCTCAGAAGTTGTCATTTGTATCATACAAGGCAAAGAAGCTTTATCAACACACAAAGGCTGTACATAGCTCAATTTTAGGAGCAGCTAAAATTAATAAAGTGGCAGTAAGGAACATCCTGTTCAGTGGTTGCTATGGACACAAGTTCACTGTTCATCCACTCTAGAAGATTAAGAAAAAGAAGTGGCAAGCATCACCTGGTTTATGCTCAATTCGTGTCACACTCACCAGTTTTGTTTTACATTAATTATAGTGCAATTGCCCTGGGTAATTTTCATAAGCTCTCAAATGTGCATTTTCTCTATTTCTGTGCCTGCTTGTGTTGAGTTATGCTGGGGATGGCTGGGCGGTTTTGTGTGTGTGTGTGTGTGTGTGTGTGAATGCTTGAGAGATTCTCTTAAATCCTTTTCAAACTTAAATTCACCTTTGCACAACACTGAACACCAAACTGGTCCAACAAATGAGGTAAGTGGAGGGAGCTTCAAGTCAAGCAAAGGGCATAAAAGGATGTTCAAATTCACTGGTGTCTGATCTTAGCGCCCTGAAGCTGAGATTCTGGTTCCCTTTTAATTCAAAGTTATTCTAAGCATATGTCAGGTGTTAACAATTCCTAGCCATGCCTTCTACAGATGCCACATCAAGATTGTTGGTTAAAATTCACATCACACTCTGCTCATGTTTGGCATGAGCCGGAAGTAGAGTGGCATTCCTACCTTCAGGACAGATGTGGCTAAGACCCAAAACAAGGCAGAATCATTTTTAAAATATAAATTGCTACCAAAATGTGTTAAAAAATAAAAATCAACTTTAATCTATGATGGTGAATAGCTGACATCAGTAACCAGAAATCTGGAGGATGCTCTAAAACATGAATGGACATTGGTAGAAAGATATCACTATTTTCAGATACATTTCAATGTTTGCCATGTGCATACAGGAATATTATTGGCCAGCTCCCCTTATCTATGCAGATCAGTCAAAAGACTAATTTCGGGTGACAAAATTGTATGTTATACATTCATTGATCACTAAAGAAGATTCCTTGGAGATTCAACTGCATTTGGTCTTTAGAACTAATCTAATGCTGGATGTTAAGGCATTGTCCTGTACAATGGTACCTTGGTTTACAACTTAATCCGTTCCGGAAGTCCGTTCTTAAACCAAAGCATTCTTAAACCAAGGCATGCTTTCCCATAGCAGTGGGGGACTCAATTTACAAATGAAACACACTTAACAGGAAGCGAAACATGTTCTGCTTCCAAGGCAAAACTCACAAACCAAAACACCTACTTCCGGGTTTGCAGCGTTCTTAATCCAAGTTGTTCATAAACTAAGCTGTTCTTAAACCAAGGTATTGTTACGGTCATTAATAAGTTTAATTTATATTCATACTTTTTGTAAAATTGAAGTCAAATTTTACTTTTTGTACAAATTTTAGTAGCAATTTATATTGCATTTTTGGTCCTACCCAATTTTGTTCCTAATTCCACCTTTTGAGGTTGGCTTGGCATTTCCGTTTTTCTGTATCTTGCCCATGTGGCTAAGACAAGATAGGACAACAGGCCAAGCCACAGAATGCAATAAACTGGCTACTTCATAAAATAATTTTTTTAACACTGAAAACACCACTTTATAATTTGAGGATTACAAGTCCTTCCTACTTCATTCATTTCTGAGATGTAGAGCTTCAACACAGATTTGCATCTTACAAAAATTACACACACACACCATTGCAGTAATTTAACTCTATGGTGCTTCAAAAGTCCATGGTGATCAACTCCAAAATCTGGCCCTTAAGATCTGGAAGCAGACAAGTCCTGTTCAACACATACTGCCGAACAAACTGTTAAATGTACAGAAAACCAGCAAAAGATATATGGGAGCCAATGGACTCTTAGGTTTCTCAAGTTCTTTTTTATTTTTAATTTGGGCAACTATTTGATCAACAGAGATCCATTGTCGTTCTTCAAGGAAAGCCTGACAATCCATGCCCGTTTTGGTTTCAAGTACTTACCTGACAGTCAAAGTCCTGGAAGTTTCGAGCTGAATTCTGTCAAAATAAGAATAAGAGCCAATGAATAGCCCAGATTCCAGAACAGCCTCATAAACTTTGCTTTGCAGCTGAGTTTTCTGAAAACTCTGCTCCGGCATATCACTTTGCACCAAACTATTGTCAGAATTGAAGCTTCTTGTACTTCATTAGTATAAATAAATGCAAATGTCATTACAATTAGCTTTCCTCCACCCGCAACAGCTGATGCCAGAAACAAAATTATTGTATGAACTGCCAAGGATAGAGGCAAGTGCCACAATTCCACATGAGTCGGTACACATTTATCAGTCCCAGAAATAATCATTTTCAAACACTGTCATGCATAGACAAACCTGCTCATTTTTCACAGGCACTGTGAAAATACCATTCAAAATTATTTCCATTCCAACATTTGGTCAATATATATTATGAACTGGTGGCACTGCTGCTCAGTTCATGCAAAAGGTTAGAACACATGTTTTTCATGCAAAGGGTTCCAGATTCAATCCCTGGCATCTTCATGAAGGGCTAGGAAATAATTAGCTGAAAACCTGGGTGTTTTCTATCAGTAACTGAAGAAAATGCTGAGCTAGATGGACCAATCAGTGGTCTGACTTGGTAGTTTCTATACAGTCATACCTTGGGCTGGGAACGTGATCCGTGCGGGAGGCACATTCGCAACCCGCAGCGCCGCTGCACACGCGTGACACAATTCAGCGCTTCTGCGCATGCACGTGACACCATTTTGTGCTTCTGCGCATGCGCCGAAACCCAGAAGTAACCCATTCCGGTACTTCCCAAAAATGCGCAACCTGCAGCGTTCGTAACCCGAGGTATGACCGTATTCCTATATACCGTATTTTTTGCTCTATAAGACTCACTTTTTCCCTCCTAAAAAGTAAGGGGAAACGTGTGTGCGTCTTATGGAGTGAATGCAGGCTGCACAGCTATCACAGAAGCCAGAACAGCAAGAGGGACTGCTGCTTTCACTGCGCAACTATCCCTCTTGCTGTTCTGGCTTCTGAGATTCAGATTTTTTTCTTTCTTGTTTTCCTGGTCCAAAAACTAGGTGCGCCTTGTGGTCTGGTGTGTCTTATAGAGCGAAAAATACAGTAACTTCTTAAACATGCATGGTCATTTAGACAAAACACTCAACCTCTGGCTACTATGTAATTTATCACTGGATCTGGCTATGGCTTTTTGTCTATATTGATATAAAACTACTAGTTCAACTCCCTTTAAAAAGATGAAAGACTTTTTGTATTGTGTGGGCTTGGTAAAATGAATATTTGTTACCGCCATTCATTTCTTTAAAAAACCCAAGAGTGGTTTACAACAATTATATATAAAACCATACAATAAAAGCCACGTACAAAGTTAAAGCCAGAAACCAGCTATTATGGAAATATGTATTCTTAATTGCCCACATAAGCCTGATGGAATAAAGTTTTTTAGAAGGCATCTAAAAGTTAAAACTGAAATATGTTAAAATAGTAAGTGGACGAGACAGACATGGTAGCGAGAGGAAAAACCGGATGGCCCACAAATATTCAAGGCACACCACAAGCTAAAAAGAGAAGACCAGTGTAAGACTGGATTTTGCAGAAATAGCTGGAAAACATTGGCTCATCACTGTAAATCACCATAGAAAAGTTAGTGATCACACTATTCACCCACACACATGCACACCCTTGGAAAATGCTAAGAACTGAACGAAAGTAAGAACCAAAGTTATCCTATGCGTTCTTTGTGAAAGGTACCTCAAATTATGTACTAAAGAAAGGCTGAAATCATCAATTAATGGGCTGGATTCCGAGAAGAGTGACTGCAACTCCACTCATGCAACGGGCTTTGCCCTTCCCGACTAGTAACCCCATCCCACCCCGATTTTGGAGATTTCATCAGACATTGGTCTGAAAGTGTATGGTATTATCTTTACAGCTCATTCTTTACGTATTCCATGCTATTATGGATTGATGCATTGGACTCTAGCCCAACAAACTTATTTATTTTAAAGTGTCATAGGACTCTTTATCATCAATGTTCAAAGAGATGATGGAAGCTACAACAGAAGGAAGAGTACCCATCCCAGGGAGTTTGCAATGTATAATTTGCAACAGGGCAGGCAAAAGACAACAGAGATAAATTTTTTTTGGGGGGGGGGTTGTGTTCAGTTACACTGAAGTGATGGACTTTACAAAAAAAAAAAATACATAGAGCTTCTCAGAACGTTAAGTTCTGTTTCTTAATACCAAACAGTACAGAATTCTAAATTACACACAACCCTTATGTACCGCTCACAGATAACATAAAATGACTAGTGCTTTAGTAATGCTCAAACACAGCCAGAATTACCTTATCATTCAGGAGGGGCTTGATCTCCGTCAATTGGACATCTTGCAATTCTTCCATGTTTACCGAGAACACAGACGTTCGCTTTCAAGCAGCAAAACACTCTAAGAGAGAGCAAGAGAAAAGTCCAGCGTTAAGATTGCAAACACTGGAAAAGATGCCAGGCCCCCACAGAATGAATTGAAAGCATGGACTGGGTACTTGAACACAGCCACGGAATAGGTTCGTGCCTCCCGAACAGAAAGGCACCTGCTCCCTTCACAATGCAGCACTAAAGAAGGCACTATTTATGCCTGACTGAATCATAAACAAATGACCTCTCCTGCAAGGCATCCCTGTTAAAATATTGGTAGACCAGAGGTCTAATCTGACAAACTTCCTCCTTCAGAAGAAGTGCAACCCAATTTCACGAACATATGAACCCTCCACCCAAAGAACCCACAACTTCCCAGGATCATTGGTCCTCATCTAGTCCACCACTGCATCCAGAAACTGGTCCAAAGCTCTCATGACCTCTCCTGATTCAGATGTTATGGAGAAGTAGAGCTGTGTATCATAAGCATACTGGAGACATCTTGCTCTAAAACTCCTAAATCACACCCAATGGCTTCATACATGTACTGGGGAGAGAACAGCACCATGCAAAACCCCATAGCAGAAATGCCAGGGGAAGGAGGCGAGAAACACAAACCCAGAGCTACTCGCTGGGTACAACCTTAAAGATACAAACAGAACCACTGTAATATAGTGCCTCCAACACCCATCTCACTCATTTGGTCCAGGAGGATATCATGATTGATGGGTTTCAAAGGCCGCTAAGCAAACAAGCAGAAGTAATAAGGTTGTACTCATCCTGTCCCTCTCATGATGAAGGTCACCTATGAGGGCACCCAATTCAGTTCCGAAATCAGGTCTGAACCCAGATTGTACTTGATCCAGATACAGTGGTACCTCGGGTTACAGACACTTCAGGTTACATACGGTTCAGGTTACATATTGCTTCAGGATGAGAACAGAAATTGTGCTCCAGCGGTGCAGCAGCAGGAGGAGGCCCCATTAGCTAAAGTGGTACCTCAGGTTAAGAACAGTTTCAGGTTAAGAACAGACCTCTGGAACGAATTAAGTACTTAACCCGAAGTACCACTGTAATCAGTCTCTTCCAGGAATATCTGCAGTTGCTCTACAACCACCCTCTCTATCACCTTTGTCAATAAAGGGATGTTAGTAACTGGTCTAGGGTGGGCTTTTTGAGGCGCGGATCCACCACTGCCTCTTTAAGCACAAAATGTTTAAATATGTCTATAGTTTTGAATAAGTAAAATAAGGCTACTGTTTCCTTGCCACCACTAGCTTGGTGTTAATCTCTTCAAAATGTGTGTTGGCACTGTTGAAAACCTGCTATTTCTTTAACAGGTTTTTTTCCCTTGCTACTGTCTCCTCCTCTGGTGAAATGATTCACTAATGAAAATGGTGAGAGGCTTGTAATGGTAGCCTTGCACGCATCTCAATCCGCAACTGCCTAAGAGTTTAAGTTTAAAATTAAACTCTTTTCAATTTTATCTGCAAATAGCTAATTTAACACTAGCAAACAATGTAACCTGCTGATGCATCAGACAGGTCCCTGGGAAGGGGAGTAAAAATCTCTGTGTGTGTTTGTAAAATTAAGGAAGGTTTGAAGACAAGGAGGTCTTTGGGGGGGGTGCAGGAGAACAGAGGAGAGTAGGAAGGGAAAGAGGAGTATCGTCTTGCAATCCCAGTATTGTCTTGCAATCCCTTCTTCTTGAAGGGAGGAGGCAGGGAAAGGACAAAGGTTTAGGAAAAGCCATTACAGTACAATAATGATATTTAAAGGGTCAGGATCCAGTGATTAAAAGTGTACCTAAACTTGCAGAGTACAGGTCCCATCAAATAGTCTCTGAATTGAAGCCACACCCTGAAACTGAGTTTTAGTTGCAGGTAAATGTAGTACTAAAAATAAACTGCTGATAAATAAGTGGTACAATCTAGCGCAAACTTGATGCACCGTTAAAAAACCAGTGGCTTCTTTACTGTTTGGATTATAAAATATCCAGGTGTCAATTAAACGGGCAGTTCTCAAATGAGCACCTCTGTCATTCCTCCCCTTTCAGTTGATAGTGTTTGAGGGCAATTTGCCTTTTAAACAGTAAGTAGAGAAGTTAACATTAAATTCCACATTAGGCAGGTGTAGCCATACGGAAAGTCTCCTGGTTTGACCAGAAATTATCACTGGAGTCCATAAGATACTTGTGAATTCTCCCAGAAAGGAATGAACAAAATCCATCCCATTTCCTTAATGTGTACACTGCTACTGATAATTAGATTCATGTCTCTAACACACTTTTTTCCAGAGTTGATACTATTACAGGTCTAACACCTGGAATGATTCAATATAACTCGTTATACATGTGGTGCTGTGGAAAAACAGTGTCCAGGGGGAATTCAAGCCTTGTTCTCCACAACTGGTAAATATAGTCGGCTGATGTTTCCAAGGCAACTGTGTGTGCTCTCTGTGGATATGGAAGAGAAGACTGGCGTAAGGCTGGCCAAGAAGCTCTCCTGCATAAACCTTGTTAGCCCTTATTTTGGGACTGGCATTTAGGTCCTTAAGCCTCCAATGCCCAAAGCACACAAACTTAATAGAGGGTGGTGAAGCCTCCAGATGGGTGCCCTTGAGGCTCCCAGCACCTGTGTGTTTGTGTACACAAAGATGCAAAAACTGGGTCTTGGCCCAGGTGAAATAAAGTCTTGCTTCGCCCCCACTAACTCTAGAACAGTATCCTCCTAGAACAAATTGTGCCTGGAGGCAGTAAACAGAGCAAGGAGACAAAAGGGGGCTCTGCTGCCATCTCTAGATCAAAATTGGAATTGCTTTTTGTCACTCAACTCATTTTGGACTAAGGAGAGTTGACATAAAAACAGACATGCCAGCTCTGTTAACCCCAACTGAGTAGGCAGTGGAGGACTTAACAGAAAGATAATGGAAACTCCCACAGAGCCTTAAACGTAGACTTTGAAATAACCACAGAAAAATGATTCCAAAGTTCTGCAGAATGACAAACTGAATGGTGCTGGGAACCATTCTAGAAGGTGAAACCTGTATCTTTGCATATTTAAAGGAGCAAGTTACATCAGTGAAGGTTTTCGCAGCAAAAAGGCTTGCTGCTACATTTAATCTGGAGGTACATCTCAGAGCAGCACCTAGCACTCCACAAGATTTAATTATAAAAATTTTGAACTATGAGGAAAAGTTTTTAAAAAAACAAAGTGGAAATCACATCTGAAACAACTGACTGCAATTTTCCTAGATCTGTCCTGGAAATGCTTCAATGACAAGATTTTTAAGTTGCTTGTTATCTCAGGGGGAAACGCTCTATTCACTAGAGATATGAGTGATGGATGGCTATAGAGGTAACCGCACAAGCCAAAGTTTGTTCCTTATGTGTGGTCTGTGGGTTGTCTGAGGAAGACAAGTCATAAGTCCGAGTTTTGCTTTTTAAAAATATTTTTTTTACTAAAGTTTTTTCACAATACAATAACAGCTACAAAACAACAACAACAAACAGAACAAGTAAAATGTGGAGTCCTCTCCTAGAGGCTATTCTCAGTGCCCACCACCACAGAAGGTAGCAACCTTTCCCAGCTGTCACCTGTGGTCCCTCCTTTTTCCTCCCAGCCTCTCATCCTAGGAGACCAACATTTCCCTGTCTCCCACCCAGGATCCTCCATCAACCACCCACCAACCAACCAACCAACCACATGAGTACACAATCCCTTTAACAAAGGCCCAACATATAGGACTCCAAATAACCCACAAGTCTTTTGATATAACACTAAGACAGACCATGGCAGTTCATGGCAGTAGCAGGACCAGGGGAGTAGAAAAGTGGCCTTGATTTTTGCTGTGAGTACCTGCAAGCTCCCTCATTCATGCTTAGCCATGGTAAGGTGGGTTCTACCTTACAATATGTGTAAGGTAGAACCCACCTTAAACTGTAAAACCTGAACAGTACAAGGTATTTTAATCTTCAAACTTATAGAAGACAGATACACATAACCCAGTTTGCAAAACTCATTGTGTGTGGTTGTGTGTGATCAGATCAAATACCCGTCTTGTCCAGCATTCTGTTCCACAGTGGCCTATGACTTGTCAACACTCTCTCATGTGCAACCAAAACCATACAATATATACATTTCATTAAATTGATGCAGACCTGGTGATAAAAACAACCCAATCAAATCTGTCGCACTCTGCTTGCTTTCTTGCTCCACTCTTGCTAATTCTACTTCCTATCCCTTTATTTCATTTAACAGCCAGGTTCATGTCTGCTGAGTGAAAGCCCGTCCCCCCCCCCCCGCTTTTGCTTTAAGTGATGGAGCTGTAATATAGAGGCACTGTGAGGTGGGCAGAATTGTGAGGAACAGCTAAGGTTGATCACAATTCTATGATTACTGCTCTTGATCTTCACTTGACTACCTCTGTACAACGGTACCTTGGTTGTCTAACATAATCCGTTCAAAAACCAAGGCGTGGCTTCCAATTGGCTGCAGGAGCTTCCTGCGCTACATCAGAAGCCACGGAAGCCACATCAGATGTTCAGCTTCCAAAAAAAGTTCGCAAACCGGAACACTTCTGGGTTTGCGCCATCTGGCAGCCAAGTCATTCAAGAACCAAGGTACCACTGTACTACCACAGAACTTGTTGGGAACAAGAAGCCACCTAGTGGCAAGTGATCAAATATAATTATTTGGAAGTAGGCATCCTTCTGCCTCAAGAGACAATGGAGTGTGTGGTGGTGCTGTGTGGTGTGTGTGTGTGTGTGTGTGTGTGTGTGTGTATGAGAAGTTAAACTGTTGTGTTAGTAGCACTGAAATGACCTCCTGGGGCGCAAGCCTGGGCAGTGCATTTGAAGGATGAATGAGTGTAAATTGAAATAAATGCCCACTATATAGGAAATGTAAGGGACGCGAGTGGCGCTGTGGGTTAAACCACAGAGCCTAGGACTTGCCGATCAGAAGGTCAGCGGTTCAAATCCCCGCGACGGGGTGAGCTCCCGTTGCTCGGTCCCAGCTCATGCCAACCTAG